GTCTCTGGTCAGCCTAGATCTCCCTCCCGGGGAGCCGGTGTGTTCCCCCATATGTATGGGGCGGTTGGATCTCCATCTCTCTGCTGTACCAGAGGCACTAGGCAGGACTCTGTTTGGAGGGGGCTTCCCTGCGGGGGTTTGGGCTTATTCATATCCCTTGCCCTGGGAAGGGATCTCTGGACCTCAGAGTCCCTAAGGAAGTCCACAGCTTTGGGATCACCCCATGCCTGCGAGGACATGGCAGCCCTTCCCCAATCCTACCAATCACGCGAATCAAAACACATTGCGTCTCATTTCCATCACATCTGCACAGGAGAAGCCTTAAAAACACATGAGAAGTGCTTGCCAGACTGAAGCCAAAGGCAGAAAGGCCCCCAGGCCCCTGTGCCGTCCGATAGCCCTACCGAGCAGTGAAAATCTACCGTGACGAGGTGGTGCAAGAGCTCCCTGCCTGCAGGGCATCCCAGCTGGGGAGGGAGAAGGGCTCTGCCCCAGGGATGTCCTTGCAGCAACAGGTCTGCCATGCTCCCTGCTCCCCAAACAGGAGCTGCTGCCCTGGTGCACGCACTGCTCCTGATAGGAAGTGTGATCGGCTTTGCCGGGAAATGGCTTTGCCCTGGGACCTGAGCAATGCCCAGCCCTCAAGCAAGGGCATTCAGACCCCACGGAGTCTCCTTGTCACTGCGGAGGTGGTACTCACTCTCGGTTGTGTCAGGATAAAGCACTGCCAAAGCCAGGGCTAGTGGGGAAGAACTGGTTTAGGAAATGCTGAGGAAGAGAGAGTGGTGGGAAACGGAGACAGAGAGGTGATTTGGGACCTTTGGAGTTGATCCAAAACAGGTAATAGCTGGCTTTGCAACATGGTGCCTTTATAAACCTTTATACAGTGGTGCCTGTGTCAGTCTTGGGTTTGAGAGCAGCTGCTGAACGCCGAGGTATCCCATCCCTGCAGCTGCAGTGGCACCAAAAGTCAGGGTATGGGACGCAGGCACAGAGCTCATACACCGCCCGAGGTATCCGAAGGACACCGAGGAGCTTCTCACCACCTGCTCGGGAGCCTGACCTGCCAGATGTCTGCATGGAAGAGCTTTTTGGGTGCCAGTTACTCGGCACCACTGAAGCAACCAGATAGTCCCCAAGGGAACTTGCCAGAGTAGCAGAGTCAATGGGATTTGTGCTATTTGCTATTAATTTAAACCACTGTCCCCCCCTGCCAACACGCGGGGATGTTTTAAAGACTCATCTCTTCCTTGTTTTCTTGGTTCAAAGACGTTTCAGGGATAGGAATCACAGATCATGAGCAAGGTCCAAAGCTCTCTAAGGTTTCAGGGATGTGTTTGCTAAGCCCTAGAGAAGAGGATTAAGGGAGGGATAGCCCGAGATGATGCATTCATCAGTCTCTTCACATCAAAGCACCAGTGTTTCGGCAATACAGCAGGAAGGATTCCCTGGCAAAGCATCCAGACTTGTAAGGAAGCAGCCCGTGAGGCTCGTTTTTATACAAGGAGGTTTTGTCATGTTGTGATCCCAGCCATCAGGACCAGAGTGCAATGAAAAATCAGGATGGTCCCCTCTCCCTCCCCAGGTTTAGCTCCAGTGGTGGTGTCGTGGGGGTATAGCAATACAATTGCCTCTGAGAAACTTAAAAATCCCATTTGGTTTTGCACAAGGAAGCCACAGGTGACTTTGCTGCAGGCTATGACCCATCCCAAGCCATCACGAAACCTAAAAAGGTTTGTTCTGACACCAAGCTGTCATTATGCAATTGATGTTTGGCCTCAGGACAGGCCAGAAGCGAAACCATCGCTTCCCTAACGCGTGCTGGGAGCCTCCTCAGAGAATGGAGTTAATTGATAATGCCCACTTGAAAGCATTGTTTTAATCTTCACCTAAATCACAGAGAGTGCAGGGCTCTTCCCTGCCTGCCCTGGATTTCAGACTTGCCTTTCATTGCATCCAGAGGCGAGGCGAAGCCAGGACCACACGCTCCACACTTTTCTGCATTGAGAAGAATAGAAACACAGAAATTAGACAACAGCGAGTTCTTTTAATCCCCTTTTAACGAAGGAACTGCTCGCTGGAGTGGCTGTGCATGCTCCCACTCTATGGCAATGTCCGAGGCAAACCAGGATGCCCACGTGCATCCAAACAACCCCCAGAAAGGTTTGGGTCTCTGGGCAGCCAAAAAGGCCAGTGATATATTCCTAGGGCAGAAAGGTACAAGGCTCAGAGCCGTCTCTCCGCTTTGCCTCCCATCGTGTCCCTGTGGCGGGGAGGAAGGGTTGCTCACCACGTGTAGGGGCAATGCCAGGCTTGCACGGCCTCAAGGCAATGCTGAGAACTCTGCGGTTCTTCTGCGAGGAGGAGGAGGAGGGGAGGCAGCAAGGAAGAAAGGCAGTATGGCTGGGCTGCTGCACCGGGGGCAGAGGGAGGGGAGAGGATTCTCCCTAGAGCCGAGTGGGGAGAGAGCATCCCCTCGCTGCAGGGTGAGGAGCGGGATGAGCTGAGCCTGGTCTGCGGCTTCTCCTGACCCTTTTTGGGATGGCTGCACTTTACTGTGCCTTGGTTTGGGAGCATTAATGCAAAGCTTTCGCATAGAAAGCTGTTTCCACCCAAGGCAGTCAGTGCTCGCGGCGTCAGCCTCCCTGCCAGCCCCTAGCACCATCCTGGGAATCCCCATCACGCTGCTGAGGGTCTCCGGGGCACTTTGAACCCTGCCAGCCTCGTTCTCTTTATAACCGCTGAGAAAATTGTCCTTAATGCAGTTGAACGAGAGCTTGTTAGAGAACAACAACCACCACTGAAAGAACACCTCTTCCCTATTTACGATGGCAAGCCTGAGGACAGGGAGGAAAACTCCCAGCTAAATTGTATGACTCAACTTTGCTGTGTAAGCTCCTTATTTGTTTTTATTCTTACTGTTGTATCACTCGTGTCCCAGCTCCTCCAGGGAAACACTCCTACCTGAAGCACTGAGAAACCACCCATCCAGCTTGCTTCTCCCTTCTCCTTAGATTAGTCCTGCAAAAACAGCCCCATCAAAGCCAGACTTTGCACTGAGGACTCCCTGCCATGGTATATCTGACTATAGCAAGCATAGCCTGTACAAGTTGCAGATGAATAAATGAGAGAACAGTTAGAAGGCTTTTAATCATCAGTCCACCTAAACTTTTCCTGGCACTTTTAGTAGCTTGAGAAAAGAAACCCTTTCCTGGCCAGACAAAACACCACATTCATCCCCATGTTTATTTTTACTTTATGTTTTCTGGGTGTCACAGTAACAAAACCACGAGACCCAGCTCCAAACGAGTTTAGGAGGACTCTGGAGCAGAGCCCACGGCCAGAAGGCAGCAAGCCACCAACAGTGCCAAGCCTTGTCCTCTGGAGAGCAAGCTGCAGTCAACGGAGAGATCTCTTACCTGTGCTGGAGGCTGGCCTGGATCTCACCTGCTGCTGAGCAGCGGAAGGAGATGATCCTGCCTGCATTCCGCCTGCTAGGAGCAAGTCAAGAGAGAAGGTGCAGCTCTGCGGGGGTTCAAATATATAGGGAGCAGGACGGGGAGAAGGAGGGTTTGGAAAAAGGACACCAAGGGGAGGATCCACACACCTCGGGGTGTGGGAGGTACCAGGGCAGCCTTTAGCATCTTACAGCACTGGAAACATGCAGGGAAGCTATTTCAGTACTACCAGAGCCTCCTCCCCTCCCAGAGCGGTAGGGGACGTGGCTGTGGCTGCACTGCATAGCGCACACATTCTCGCACACTGGAAACACAAGGGCTTTTAGCCATGAAGGGAAAGCAGGCTGGTCCTCTCCTCCGATTCCTTGCTAGAAGCAACGTTTTGCAGCAGCATGGGGCTGACAGGGTGCCCCTGATGAGAGACAGGCAAGCACTGCATTCCCAACCACAGAAATATTGAGGTTGCAGATGTTAATCACAAGTGAAAATGAAAAGCGAGGACTGGGTTTCTTTTAATTGCAGGATGAGTGTTTACTGTGGGATGTTAATTTGCTGGCTGGGAGGAGGCAGAAGCAATGTAACAGTGTTCCCCATGACACATCTGACTTACTCAGTGTCTGCTGCTGCTTCTGGCTGCAAAGCTGGGCGTCAGCTCGCTTGGCTCGTAAGGGCCGTGCAGTGGATGCGCAGCCTTCACAGGCACATCTTTGCTGGCAGGTTGCTGCCTTGTCCTCTCCAGTGCTCACCCCAGAGGTAGACTCTGAAACCAGCAAGCTCAAACAGTCATTCACTCTGCCATCAGAGGCTCTCAGCCCATTGCACCTGCTAGCAAGAAGACCGATGGCCTTGGCTCAATCTCTCCCCCCCATTACCAGCTTGGGCTCGTCTGTTTGTATTTGATGCTCAACACCATGCTATGGAGTGCACTGCAGATCCACACCGTGGCGGTCAGCACATCCCCCTGTGTCCCACCTTGCCTCTGACCAAAGAAATCTTCTCCAGGAGGCCCCAGGGCTTAAATGCAAAGGACAAAGCATGTATAAGCAGCAGCCCGGCTTCATCTGGACCTCACATGCACCTTCCAGTCATCCTCCATAGAAATGTCTCCACTGCAGTTCAGCAAGATTGCTGTAAGAGTGTTACTTCCCTTAGGGAAGAGGGGTGATGCCAGCGGTGTCTGTCCTCATGGTCTAGGAGATCTGTTGGAAGCTGCGAAGGACTTGATGGGTGCTGGCACCAGGGAGAAGCCTATCTTCCAAATAACCACTAGAGGGAACAGACGAAGCATCCAACTTCAGCCAGCCCAATTCACCGCCTCCCCAGGTGAGGCACATTCAGCCGCTGCAGATGCACCACGTTCCACGTTCCTCAGGATAACTCATGCACGAGGGAGGCCCACGCTCCCCAAAACACGGGAGTCAGTACCCAAAGCCCAAAGAACAGGCCTTGGAGGGGATGAAGGAGTTTGCTCGTACCAGCAGAAATACATCCACATCCATCCAACTTGGGCAGAGCATGGCCTGATGGTGGAACGAGGAGCTGGGTCACCCCTGCCGCGTTGTCTGTTGCTCTTCGTGGCTCAGCTGCAGCTCAAAGCCCGGGCTGAGTCCTCGCCTTGCCGTGCGACCACCTGCAGGTCAGAGAGGGTGCTCAGTTGAGAGCGTAAGAGACAGCAGACTCTCTGATCAACCCTGTAAACACGGCCATGAGGTAAGGGAGCTCTTCCCTCCATTGATGTGGATGGTGCCCGGCCCCATCACGAGGAGGGGTTTCCAGGGCGGATTCAGCTCAGCTACCTCCAGCCATCTGGACCGCACGCTGGCATGGGGATGTCTGCTGGCCAGACTCTCCCTCCAGCCAGCGGAGAGGAGGAGGCACCTCTAGTGAGGTACGTGCCTTGTAGGGTCTGAAGGTAGGTGAGATGAGGCTCATTCGAAAGCCACCGCAACAGCAGGGACGTCCCCTGAGAAGGCCCTCAAACAAGGCAAAAGCTGGAGGATCAGAAGGGGCTGTCACACGCAAGTGATCGTGACGCTGAACAGCAGCACCCCAGGGTGCACAAGAGAGCTGGAGCA